AGAGGATCTAGAGCCTCCTGCTGAGCTAAAACAAACGGTGGCTCTTGGACATCTTTGTCCCTACGAAGGCTCACAGAAACAACAAACTACCAATTATTTTTATTAAAATAAAATATTTCATTTCCAATTTTAATAAAATAGCATCCATTGTTCAGAATCACAAATGCGTAAATAGAAACAGAGATAATAATCCTCTGTCTAGCAACTGCCAACAATCATAACCCAAAAATAAGAAAAAAGCCAACAACTGCAATCCAATTACCATATTAATGACTCATATCATTCCCCTCTTTCACTGTGGACGATAAAACTGCAGTTAGGATCAGTACATTCAAGGGCCAAGTCATCGCAAGGCTCACCACAAGAATCGCATGACTGTGGACGATAATCCCCTGTCTTGACGACCAAAGCAAGAGGGTGATTAGGATACGTGCGAACGCCCCCTAGCTTGACGTATGGGTATTTCCCGAGAGCACATTCAGGATGAGCATCGAAGTCGCATTTCTCACAACGGTAGAACCAGAGCTTTGGGTCTCTATCTTTTTCACAAATTAAACAGGAAGGCTGGTAGTCATTTGCATTAATATAGGTGAGGAAGAGAGGATGGTCATCATGCTCGAGTCTTGCTTTATATGGCACTGTAGCACATTTCATACCAAGGCTGAAATCGCAAACCACACATTTAAAAAATACCTTCGATTCTTCACTGACACAACAGCCACTGCAAGGGGGAACATTCTCTCCGTCATCTGCAAGCAAAGGGGGAAGCCCGCGACCTCCAATATTGCAACGGAGAATATTCTTTCTGTCCGCTGGAAGATAAAGGGGATGCTCATGACCTCCATGTTTAAAAGAATCTTTCAATGATTTGAAGCATCGGACATCAATGGAGAGTCCACATACATCACATGTGTACCTGAGCCCACGAGAAGTTTGATTACACAAATCACAGTAGAACGGATCATGTTCCCATCGCTTCCATGAAAGAATCAGTTGGTTTTCGTGATATCGCCACTTTTTTCGCCTGGGTAATTCTATGCAGGTTTCGTCAAGAAAGAAATTACAACTGGCACAACTATAAAATGGAGTTGAGATTGGTAACATGCACCCATCACACTTTAGATCATCATCAACCTTGTCACTAAGGATTAGGTTATGTTGATGACTGAAATGCTCGATCTCTTCAATTATTCTCTCCTCTCCATGCTTGATCTCACGGACAACGCGAAAGCTAGGTTCCATAAATTGATCATCAACAGTCACACTTTGCCCTTCTTCGTTTTCTTCTACAATCTCTGTTGCAGAATCGCCATATTCTCTGCTACAATTCACGTGAGCAACGAAGTCACAGTCTGGGCAATAGTAAACTCCGTACTCTGTGTCAACTTCCCGACTGCAAATTCCACAGTACTTGTTTATAGATTCGATGTATTGTTGAGGATGATAGGTGTGGATGACTCGGGGATGATGATGCAGTGCTAGTTTAAGGGTGACTGGCAATGAAATGCATTCTTCGTGGACCAAGAGTTGGCACAAGGTGCACATGAAAGGGGAGTCATCTCCATCAGTGCCGCATGCATTGCAAGTGAAAGAGATTGATTTTAATGAAGGTGAATTTAGCAGGCTTCTAAATTGATGCCCCTGATCCTGATCAGCTGCATAAACGCATGGTGGAAAAGCACATTTGATATGGAGGTTGAATTCGCACACAAAACAGCAGTAAGCAAAACTCTCATAGCAAGTTTCTTTGCAAAAACTACAGATCATGTGATGATTTGGCAGTAGACGAAGAGGGTGTTCCGGATGAATTTGCCTCTTGATCTCTGGGGGTAGCTCAGCACACTTCTTGTGAAGAAAGACGTTGCAAGAAGTGCAACTATAGATTGGACCAGACATTGGTTCCTTGCACACAGAGCACACAACTCCTTCACCATCATATTCTTGCTCTTCATTCAAAATCAATGGATGATCCTTGTGAGCAAATTGATGTGCCTGAATATCAACTTCCAAAAAACCCGGTTGAAAAGCACATTTGATATCAAGATCAAACTTGCAGAAAGAACAATGGTAAACAAAACTCTTGCAAATTTTGTTGCACCGATTACAACGGCATTCTCCTCCATATGGTGGCTTTGACAATAGATGGAGAGGGTGTTGACGATGAATGCGCCGCTTGATCTCACGGGGCAGCTCGGCGCATTTCTTGTGAAGAAAGAAGTAACAAGAGGTGCAACTGTAGCGAGGACCCCCTATAGGTCCCTCGCATCCAGAGCAAATAACTAGTTCACAACTATATTCGAGAACTTGATTAATGAGGATCAATGGATGATCTGGGTGGCTAAAATGTTCAACCTCCATGTCTCTGACTCTCTCAGAAGACAGAGCTGGAAATGAGAGGTGTTGAGCCAAGGCAAGACTTAGGCAGGCCAAATTGAAGCTGCCGAATATATATGTTATCGAAATGGAAAGGCAAATAAAAGTTGAGTGCTGCTAGTATTCAATACCTTACCTTCTGAACTGAAGCTTGACCTCTTCACCGACGACGGCTAATTAAATAATTACAGCTGCTCACTGCTACATTACAGATCAACCAACGAGATCCAGAAAACAGTGATTTCCCATTAAGATCGGATACCAAAATTCAAAGAAGCCCGAAAAGGAAGGAAGGGTGTTATCTGCAAGGATGGGGTGGGAAGAAGATCATGGTGATAGCTACAGGCTCTTCTATACGTGTAGATGGTATTATATAGGCAGGTGAGTAAGAAGACACTTTCCTCTTGCTTTTCTGGTTGGAGTGGAAGACTCGTTGACTTGAGCTGGGTCTCGTCAACTTCATGTTACTGGATCATGTCCATTGCTTAGTATTCTATTGGATTGGTCCATTGCTTAGTTAATGGATCAAGTCCGTATAATAAGTTGTTAATGAAATAAAAAATAGTATTTCAAGTTTATTTCAAGAAAATAAGAAATTGAGAACTAACTCTCTAAAAATACACTTATATTTTTAAGGGGTTGGATGACCTCTCATCCACCTCTTTTTTTTTTAAATATATTATAATTTTTGTTTAACAAAACTATATGTCACTGCCCCCGCACTATACTTAATGTAAAAAACATAATTTTCATTAGTATTATAAATGATTAGTTGACAAGAGGGAGTTTAAGCTTCTGATCAATGATTTTGCTGGTAGCAGGATGAAGAACAAAGGACGTCGAATGGATTTATTATCTAGATAAGCGTATGTGCAAGGGAATAATATCAGTTCGGTTCTCTGCTCGGATTTGAAATGGGCCTCAAGACATGAACAAGGAATTCTTATGAACAAGAAATGGGCCACAATAATTACAATTGGGCTTGGCATTATCATGGAAACCAATCATTGGCCTGAAAACATTGAAGTGGCATTAGACTTGACTTATGTGAGAGATGACAGAAAATAATTGGCAAATAATATGCTGGGGTGAAATTAATTTTTTCTAAATAATATTATTAATATTATTTTTGAAAAATTAACTAGATTTGAAATGGACCTCATTTCCAGCCTTAAGATATGAGCAAGGAATTCTTATGACAAAAATACTTGTTTTACTCCCTCCACAATAATTACTTGGATTTGAAGGCCGGTTGTGATCCAATTGGGCTTGGCATCATCAAGCAAACCAATTATTGGCCTGAAAACATTGAAGAAGCATTAGACTTGACCTATGTGAGAAATGGCAGAACGTTAAATTAATTTTTTTAAAATATATATACAGGTATTATTAATGTTTTTTTTTTCGTAAAAATTTAAATTGTACGGGGTTGATCTCTGATTTAATTAATTTAATAAGTTTAAAAATAATTTAAATAACTGATAAAAATATAATTTGATTTTAAAAAAAATCTCTATTAATTTTTTTTTTATTAATGTTAATAAGTATTTTTTGTTGTTATTGATGTTATTGTCAGGATGACTACGAAGAAGAAGAACAAACAGGCCATATAGTCTATTTTAGCCTTGAAAAATACCAAAACGAAAATGATGCTTAACAGGGCAGCACCATTTGCCTAGCTAGTTTTTGGATGGTTTATTTATTTATTTATTTATTCCGGTTTTGGCATTTTATTATCAAATCGTCTCATCACAAATAATTAGCATACAAGATGGTGATCCTTTAAATCTTCAATGTTTGAAATAGCAATAACAAGAATTCCGTTCTTTAAATTTACTTGAGATATATTGGAGATATGATAAATATTATTTTTAAAAATATTTTTTATTTAAAAATATATTAAAATAGTATATTTAAAAAAAAATATTTTAATATTATTATATTAAAACGATAAGAAAACATAAAAAAAAACTTAATTTAAAATAGAAAAAAAATAAAATTTAACAAAAGACAGTTCAAGCTCAATATCAAATCAAATGGGCACTAAAACTTAGATAACGATGGTACGGCAATTATGGAAAAAGATAGAGTTCTTTAATTAAATAGATAATTAATTAAATGCTTGTTTACATTACACACACACACACAAAGTATACTAATAGAAATAAAGTGCCCCTTAACATTGTATTCCTGTATTAGATGGGTTAGGCTAGCTTTTCCAAACCTAGCTTAATTTCCCAAGCCTTTCTAAGAGATTAGACCTAGCCCACGTTAGTAAAATAGGGTTTGGATTAAAAGAAAACAGGCCGAGCTATAGGTGTTAGCCATAGATGAGGGTTAGTGATGCTGGGACAAAATAGAGAGGCAAGGGATAACTACCACCATAATTAAAAAGAAAATTATGTAGCATTCCTTTAAATATTACTAAAACTCTGGGCCAAATAAATCCGTATTTTTTAAAAATAACTAAATCTTAACTATCACCATAATATATTATGTAAATAAACTACTAAAAAAAAATTCATGATTATATGAAATCCATTATGACTTTAGCTCCTGCATTATTTTTCTCGAAATAAAAACAACTCAGATTTTAGTTGAAATCGTTCTTGTCTAGATCATAAGGACACGTCGGAGAAGATCATTTATCTTGGAATTAAATTATATAATTAGAGATATAAAAAAAATTGAAAACACATTCTCTTATATATCACATTTCATCAAGTTGATTAACTACAAACAATAAAATTCAGATTAAATAGATATAATTTATACATATAAATATATAAAAATAACTTAACTATGCATTATTTTTTTCCCTCGTCTAATTTAAACTATAAATTCAAAAACTAATGTTAACCATTTCTCCTTAAAAAGCCCCCGACCTTAAAGTCTCCATTGTCATTCATTCCTATTTGGTTTTCTAGATTTTATAATGCAGAGAGAGATGGGAAAGGAAGAAGATCATGCGCGTAATATTCCCTTTCCAAATTAATTACAGGTTTTTTTAAAAAAAAAAACTATGTAAACAAATGTCTTTATCAGATCGGATTGGTCCATTTCTTAGTTAATGGATCATGTCCATATAATAATTTAACAATGAATACAATATAAAATAAAAGATGAAAATGAAGAATAGTATTAGAAACTATTAGTCTTGAGAGGAGCTATCTTGAGTGGAGTTAGGATCTTAATTCAAATATTCATATTGATCTTCTCATGTTATTTCATATCACATTTTTCATGTTTACTACCCCCAAATTATTAAATTAAAATTAAAATAACATCGATTATATATAATAAAAATAAAAATTTAACTATTTATTGTTTAAAACATGTCAAGTAAAATTTATAGTATTATAAATCATAAGGTAACAATTGAATGCATTTAAAAAAATGCAGGAGAAACTAAAAATAATAATTGTTCGTTAAAAAATAATAGTTGAAAAGAAAACTATAACCTTATTCAAACTAAAACTAAAATTTTGATGTTAATTTAAAAAAAACACTTTTAATAAATTTTGTATTAATTTAATAAATTAATAAAGAAATATATAATATATATTTAGTTATCTAATTCTACACTAAATGGGCTTAAGAAGGGCAAAAAAAAATGGTTTAGCGCATGTTCCAGGAGGCCCAGCACGCCAATCAACACATGCGAGTATGTTTGGGCTTCATTTCTTATTCTTTTTCTTATTATTATTATTATTTAAACGGGAGCACTTTTTAAAGTAACCATCCGGTACCTTTTTTTATAGTGACAAATTAAAACACGCCACCTATTTGTTTCACCGTAGAGAAACTCTAGAGGCTGGAAATCACTGGAAAATTGCTCCCCTCTCTTTTAACACAAAACATCATTTCTTTCATTTAAAAACACTTAGAAACACCCCGTAAACATAACCTCTAAATAATAGAGAGTGTGTGTGTGAGCTTCTATTATACTATTATTCAATCATTAAGAAAATATATACAGATTATATTCTCTCTTATTTTCTGTTTTTCATTTTTTCTCAAATAAAACCACAAAAACTATCTAGACTTGTAATATTTTATTAGTTGATTTAGAATTTTTTATCTATTTAGTTAAAAAAATTATCTTGTGTAGGATTTTTTCAATATATAAACACTATAATATTATATTTTAATTAGACAATTATGCTTTTAATGTTGTAATTTTACTTAACTCTAATTATGTATTACTTTTTTTGCAGCTAAAAAAAAAAGCAGTAGAAGTTTCAAAAGCATTAATTATTTTTTTTAGACTACCCATTAATCAGGCTGAAAAATAATTAAATTGGGTTTGAATTTGTTTAAATTAAAAATCAATCAGGTTCTAACCAAATAATCGAAATGGAATTTGAGCCTCTAAATCCCTTCCTTCGTGGTTTTGAAATTAGATAAAGAAGTTGGAGGCTTATTCCTATTCTTCTTAAGAAGAAAAATAGCAAAAACATGAATTAACTTACTCTTTTCATGATATATCTTATTAAATGACAAAGCTATCGAATGCCCTTGAGGTATTCGTTTTAAATATTATTTAAATACATTTATTTAATATTAGATTGTGTTAAGGAAATAAAAATTAAATATTTGAATGAAAATAAATGATATCAGTTAGACAATTGTAATTTTATATGACAATATTTCTATGCATTTACAATAAAATCTATAACAAAAATGTAAAAGCAGAATTTATGGAGAGCTTCCTGCTAAGCTAAAAAAATGGTGGGATGGAAGGACAGGCATCTTTGTCACTACGAAGGCTCAAAGAAACAACAAACTACCTTCAAGGACAGTTTTAATGAAATAGCATCTTTTATTATTCAGAAAAAAAGAGTGATCTCATCTGCGAAAATAGAAACAGAGATAATAAGTATGAAGCCACATGCATCCATTCACCCCAATTACCGTATTAATGGATCAATGCATTGCCATCTTTTCCTGTGAAAACGCCCCCTAGCTTGACGTATGGGTTTCTCCCAAGAGCACATTCTGGATGAGCATCGAAGTCGCATTTCTCACAACGGTAGAACCAGAGCTTTGGGTCTCTATCTTTTTCACAAATTATGCAGGAAGGCTGGTAGTCATTTGCATTAATATAGGTGAGGAAGAGAGGATGGTCATCATACTCGTGTCTTGCTTTATATGGCAGTGTAGCACATTTCATACCGAGCTTGAAATCGCAAACCACACATTTCAAAAATACCTTTGATTCTTCACTCACACAACAGCCACTGCAATGGGGAATATTCTCTCTGTCATCTGCAAGCAAAGGGGGAAGCCCGTGATCTCCAATATGGCACCGGAGGATATGCTTTCTGCCTGCGGGAAGATAGAGGGGATGCTCATGACCTCCATGTTTAGTGGAATCTTTCAATGATTTGAAGCATCGGACATCAATGCAGAGTCCACATACATCACATTTGTACCTGAGGCCCCGAAAATATTGCCTACACATACAACAGTAGTACCGATTATGTACCCCTCGGATCCATGAAAGAATGAGTTGGTTTTCGTGATATTGCCACTTTTTTCGCCTGGGTAATTCTATGCACGTTTTGTCAAGAAAGAAATTACAACTGGCACAACAATAAAATGGAGTTGAGATTGGTAACATGCACCCATCACACTTTAGATCATCATCAGCCTTGTCAATAAGGATTAGGTTATGTTGATGACTGAAATGTTCGATCTCTTCAATTATTCTCTCATCTCCATGCTTGATCTCACGGACAACGCGAAAGCTAGGTTCCTTGAATTGATCATCAACAGTCACACTTTGCCCTTCTTCGTTTTCTTCTACAATCTCTGTTGCAGAATCGCCATATTCTCTACTACAATACACGTGTGCAACGAAGTCACAGTCTGGGCAATAGTAAACTCCGTATTCTGTGTCCACTTCCCGACAGCAAATTCCACAGTACTTCTTTATAGATTTGATACATTGTTGATGTTGATAGGTGTGGATGATTTGGGGGTGATGGTGTAGTGCCGTTTTAAGGGTGCGTGGCAATGAAATGCATTCTTCGTGGACCACGAGCTGACACATGGTGCACCCGAATGGGGAGTCATCTCCATCTGTGCCGCATGCATTGCAAGTGAAGGAGATTGAGTTTAGTGAAAGTGGATTCAGGAGGCGTCTAAATTGATGCCCCTGATCCTGATCAGCTTCATAAATGCACGGTGGAAAAGCACATTTGATATGGAGGTTGAATTCGCACACAAAACAGCAGTAAACAAAACTCTCATAGCAAGTTTCGTTGCAAAAATTACAGATCGTATCATGATTTGGCAGGAGACGAAGAGGATGTTCTGGATGCAAGTGCCGATTGATCTCTGGGGGTAGCTCAGCACACTTCTTGTGAAGAAAGAAGTTGCAAGAAGTGCAACTATAGCTAGGACCCGACATTGGTTCCTTGCACACAGAGCACATAACTCCTTCACCATGATATTCTTGCTCTTCATTCAAAATCAATGGATGATCCTTGTGGGCAAATTGATGTGCCTGACTATCAACATCAAAAAAACCCGGTGGAAAAGCACATTTGATATCAAGATCAAATTTACAGAAAGAACAATGGTAAACAAAACTGTTGCAAGTTTTGTCGCACCGATCACAAAAGCATCCTGTACTGTAATGAGATGGTGGCTTTGCCAGTAGATGAAGACGGTGTCTAGGATGAATGCGCCGCTTGATCTCAAGGGGCAGCTCGGCGCATTTCTTATGAAGAAAGAAGTAGCAAGAGGTGCAACTGTAGCAAGGACCCCATATTGGTCCCTCGCATCCGGAGCAAATAACTAGTTCACAACTATATTCGAGAACTTGATTAACGAGGATCGATGGATGATCTGGGTGGCTAAAATGTTCAACCTCCATGGCTCTGGCTCTCTCAGTTGAGCCAAGGCAAGACTTAGGTAGGCCAAATCGAAGCTGCCGAATATATATGTTATCGAAATGGAAAGGCAAATAAAAGTTAAGTGCTACTAGAATTCAACCGTCGGAAAACCCCAAATTCAAAGAAGCCCAAATTGGAAGGAAGGGTGTTACCTTTAAGAAGAGGCGGGTAGAAGATCACGAGGAAAGCTACAGGCTCCTTTGATTAGGTTTTGTCACTAAGGATTAGGTTATGTTGATTACTGAAATGCTCGATCTCTTCAAATATTCTCTCCTCTCCATGCTTGATCTCACGGACAACGCGAAAGCTAGGTTCCATAAATTGATCATCAACAGTCACACTTTGCCCTTCTTCGTTTTCTTCTACAATCTCTGTTGCAGAATCGCCATATTCTCTGCTACAATTCACGTGAGCAACGAAGTCAGTCTGGGCAATAGTAAACTCCGTACTCTGTGTCAACTTCCCGACTGCAAATTCCACAGTACTTGTTTATAGTTTCGATGCATTGTTGAGGATGATAGGTGTGGATGACTCGGGGATGATGATGCAGTGCTAGTTTAAGGGTGACTGGCAGTGAAATGCATTCTTCGTGGACCAAGAGTTGGCACAAGGTGCACACTAATGGAGAGTCATCTCCATCGGTGCCGCATGCATTGCAAGTGAACGAGATTGATTTGAATGAAAGTGGATTCAGCAGGCTTCCAAATTGATGCCCCTGATCCTGATCAGCTGCATAAACGCATGGTGGAAAAGCACATTTGATATGGAGGTTGAATTCGCACACAAAACAGCAGTAAGCAAAACTCTCATAGCAAGTTTCTTTGCAAAAACTACAGATCACGTGATGATTTGGCAGTAGACGAAGAGGGTGTTCCGGATGAATGTGCCTCTTGATCTCTGGGGGTAGCTCAGCACTCTTCTTGTGAAGAAAGACGTTGCAAGAAGTGCAACTATAGCTTGGACCAGGCATTGGTTCCTTGCACACAGAGCACAGAACTCCTTCACCATGATATTCTTGCTCTTCATTCAAAATCAATGGATGATCCTTGTGGGCAAATTGATGTGCCTGACTATCGACTTCCAAAAAACCCGGTTGAAAAGCACATTTGATATCAAGATCAAACTTACAGAAAGAACTATGGTAAACAAAACTCTAGCAAGTTTTGTTGCACCGATTACAATAGCATTCTGTGTAATGAGATGGTGGCTTTGACAGTAGATGGAGAGGGTGTCTACGATGAATGCGCCGCTTGATCTCACGCGGCAGCTCGGCGCAGTTCTTGTGAAGAAAGAAGTAGCAAGAGGTGCAACTGTAGCAAGGACCCCACACAGGTCCCTCGCATCCAGCACAAATAACTCGTTCACAACTATATTCGAGGACCTGATTAATGAGTATCAATGGATGATCTGGGTGGCTAAAATGTTCGACCTCCATGTCTCTGGTTCTCTCAGAAGGCAGAGCAGGAAATGAGGGGTGTTGAGCCAAGGCAAGACTTAGATAGGCCAAATCGAAGCTGCCGAATATATATATGTTATCGAAATGGAAAGGCAAATAAAAGTTGAGTGCTGCTAGTATTCAATACCTCACCTTCTGAACTGAAACTTGACCTCTTCACTGACAGGTAATTAAATAATTACAGCTGCTTACTGCTACATTACAGATCAACCTACGAGATCCAGAACACAGTGATTTCCCATTAAGATCGGATACCAATCAATTGCTGGGGAAGCATTTTTCTTCCCTCTTCCCCTTTATCAAAGATTATGGGACAGAGAACCGAAACGAAAAATAATTCAAAGGACCCAAGATTCAAAGAAGCCTAAAAACGAAGGAAGGGTGTTACCTGTAAGGAGGAGGCGGGTAGAAGATCACGAGGAAAACTATCTATTTGTGCAGATGATATTATTGAAGCATGTGAATAAGAAGAATCTTTACTTTTCTGGTTGGAGAAGAAGACTCGTTCACTTGAGGTGGGTCTCCTGAACTTCTTATTATTGAAGCACGTGAATGAGAAGACACTTTCCCCTTTATTTTCTGGTTGGAGGAGAAGCCTCGTTGACTTGAGTTGGGTCTCCTCAACCATAGACCCGCAATCCAATTACAATAATGACTTAAAGCATTGCCATCTTTTCCTGTGGACGATAAAATTGCAGTCAGTATCAGTACATTCAAGGGCCAAGTCATCGCAAGGCTCACCACAAGTATCGCATGCTGGATAATCCTCTGTCTTGACGACCAAAGCAAGAGGGTGAGGGTGTTTATGATATGTTCTAACCCCCCCTGGCTTGACATATGGGTATTTCCCGAGAGCACATTCAGGATGAGCATCGAAGTCGCATTCCTCACAACGGTAGAACCAGAGCTTCGGGTCTCTATCTTTTTCACAAATTATGCAGGAAGGCTGGTAGTCATTTGCATTAATATAGGTAAGGAAGAGAGGATGGTCATCATACTCGTGTCTTGCTTTATATGGCAGTGTAGCACATTTCATACCAAGGCTGAAATCGCAAACCACACATTTAAAAAATACCTTCGATTCTTCACTGACACAACAGCCACTGCAAGGGGGAACATTCTCTCCGTCATCTGCAAGCAAAGGGGGAAGCCCGTGATCTCCATTATTACAACGGAGAATATTCTTTCTGCCCGCTGGAAGATAAAGGGGATGCTCATGACCTCCATGTTTAAAAGAATCTTTCAATGATTTGAAGCATCGGACATCAATGCAGAGTCCACATATACCACAACGGTAGCAGAGCCCACGAAAATCTTGCTTGCACACGCTACACTTGCACAGATTATGCACCCCTGGGCTCCATGAAAGAATCAGTTGGTTTTCGTGATATCGCCACTTTTTTCGCCCGGGTAATTCTATGCACGTTTTGTCAAGAAAGAAATTACAACTGGCACAACGATAAAATGGAGTTGAGATTGGTAACATGCACCCATCACACTTTAGATCATCACCAACCTTGTCATTAAGGATTAGGTTATGTTGATGACAGAAATGCTCGATCTCTTCAATTATTCTCTCTTCTCCATGCTTGATCTCACGGACAACGCGAAAGCTAGGTTTCATGAGTTGATCATCAACAGTCACACAATGCCCTTCTTCGTTTTCTCCTCCAGTCTCTGTTGCAGAAACGCCATATTCTCTACTACAGTTCACGTGTGCAACGAAGTCACAGTCTGGGCAATAGTAAACTCCGTAATTTGAGTCAACTTCCCGAAGGCAAATTCCACAGTACTTGTTTATAGATTCGATGCATTGTTGAAGTTGATATGTGTGGATGATTTGGGGATGATGGTGCAGTGCTGTTTTAAGGGTGCCTGGCAATGAAATGCATTCTTCGTGGACCACGAGATGGCACAAGGTGCACATGAAAGGGGAGCCATCTCCATCTGTGCCACATGCATTGCAGGTGAAGGAGATTGATTTGAATGAAAGTGGATTCAGTAGGCGTCTAAATCGATGCCTTTGATCCTGATCAGCTGCATAAATAGGAGATTGATTTGAATGAAAGTGGATTCAGTAGGCGTCTAAATCGATGCCTTTGATCCTGATCAGCTGCATAAACGCATGGGGGAAAAGCACATTTGATATGGAGGTTGAATTCGCACACAAAACAGCAGTAAACAAAACTCTCATAGCAAGTTTCGTTACAAAAATCACACATCGTATCATGATTTGGCAGTAGACGAAGTGGGTGTTCTGGATGAATGTGCCTCTTGATCTCGGGGGGCAGCTCAGCACACTTCTTGTGAAGAAAGAAGTTGCAAGAAGTGCAACTATAGCTAGGACCAGACATTGGTTCCTTGCACACAGGACACACAACTCCTGCACCATGATATTCTAGCTCTTCATTCAAAATCAATGGATGATCCTTGTGGGCAAATTGATGTGCCTGACTATCAACTTCCACAAAACCCGGTTGAAAAGCACATTTGATATCAAGATCAAACTTACAGAAAGAGCAATACTTCCAAAAAACCCGGTTGAAAAGCACATTTGATATCAAGATCAAACTTACAGAAAGAGCAATGGTAAACAAAACTGTTGCAAGTTTTGTCGCACCGATCACAAATGTATTCTCCTCCATATGGTGCCTTTTCCAGTAGATGGAGAGGGTGCTGACGATGAATGCGCCGCTTGATCTCACGGGGCAGCTCGGCGCATTTCTTATGAAGAAAGAAGTAGCAAGAGGTGCAACTGTAGCAAGGACCCCATATAGGTCCCTCGCATCCAGAGCAAATAACTAGTTCACAACTATATTCGAGAACTTGATTAATGAGGATCGATGGATGATCTGGGTGGCTAAAATGTTCAACCTCCATGTCTCTGGCTCTCTCAGAAGGCAGAGCAGGAAATGAGTGGTGTTGAGCCAAGGCAAGACTTAGGGAGGCCAAATCGAAGCTACCGACTATATGTTATCGAAATGGAAAGGCAACTAAACGACTTAGATAGGCCAAATCGAAGCTGCCGAATATATATATGTTATCGAAATGGAAAGGCAAATAAAAGTTGAGTGCTGCTAGTATTCAATACCTCACCTTCTGAACTGAAACTTGACCTCTTCACTGACAGGTAATTAAATAATTACAGCTGCTTACTGCTACATTACAGATCAACCTACGAGATCCAGAACACAGTGATTTCCCATTAAGATCGGATACCAATCAATTGCTGGGGAAGCATTTTTCTTCCCTCTTCCCCTTTATCAAAGATTATGGGACAGAGAACCGAAACGAAAAATAATTCAAAGTACCCAAGATTCAAAGAAGCCTAAAAACGAAGGAAGGGTGTTACCTGTAAGGAAGAGGCGGGTAGAAGATCACGAGGAAAGCTATCTATTTGTGCAGATGATATTATTGAAGCATGCGAATAAGAAGAATCTTTACTTTTCTGGTTGGAGAAGAAGACTCGTTGACTTGAGGTGGGTCTCCTGAACTTATTATTGAAGCACGTGAATAAGAAGACACTTTCCCCTTTATTTTCTGGTTGGAGGAGAAGCCTCGTTGACATGAGTTGGGCCTCCTCAACTTCTTATTACTGGATTGGTCCATTACTGAGTTGGGCCATATAGTCTATTTTAGCCTTGAAAAATACCAAAACGAAAGTGATGCTTAACAGGGCAGCACCATTTGCGTAGCATTTTATTATCTTAAGAGTCTCGTCACAAATAATTAGCATCTCCTCATCGGAATCCTTGAAATGGATTTAGTCTTAATTACAAGATGAACTGTACCAAAAATATCATCCAACCATAAAACAATATATATATATATACTAGAAAATGTTGGTTAAATAAAAAGTAATCTAATGTTGGAAATGGAACACATTCAAGATGGTGATTCTATAAATTTTCAATATTTGAAATAGCAATAATAAGAATTCCGTTCTCTAAATTTATTTAAGATATATTTAGAAATGTAGTAAATATTGCTTTTCAAAATGTTTTTTATTTGAAAATATATTAAAAAAATTATTTTTAACATAGCATATTAAAAATATCTAAAAACACTAAAAAAAATTATTTTAAAACAGAAAAAAAAATTAAATTTTAACAAAATACAGTAAACCTCAATATCAAATCAAATGGCCACTAAAACTTAGATAACAATGGTAGCGGCAATTATGGGAAAAGATAGAGTTCTTTAATTAAATAAATAATGAATTAAATGCTTGTTTACATTACACACACACAAAGCATACTAGTAGAAATAAAGTGTCCCTTGACCTTGTATTCTTGATGGATGGTTTTTGATATCCTTATGCCGAGAAAACGAACATTTGCAAATTGCTGTGGAGCAACGGCATTC